AAGGTTTGACATCCAGTTTTCAAATTCTCTTGTTTCCTGTGAAAAATTGCGTATGCTTTTGTACCACAAAAGGGGGTAAGTGTTCACATGCTGTCCTGACATCCGGCGCATATCTAATAGTGGATAAAAATAGGATTGTAATCAAGGTTTTTTTTTGCAATCTTTGACTCATTTAGGAAAATTGACACATCATTACGAAAAGAGGCCATCGAGCTTGCTAAGGGTGCAGAATGGGGAGGACAGGTAATGATCTTTCAATGATTATATATGACACTATCTCGACCATGCAATAATCAATTGTAACCATTTTGTATAGATTATGTCTGTCGACGACGAGTATCGCTGGGCTGGAACAAAAGATCCGAAAATCGTAATTACTACAAGCAGAGATCCATCGAGCAAATTGAAAGTTTTTGTGAAGGTAAACTAAACTTTTTTGGTGACTGGAGCAAAGGGGAATTTCAGGAAATGAAACTGATTTTTCCCAATGCACAGAGATTAAACAGAGGTCATTATGATGTCAAGCAACTCGTACAAGCTTGCAGAGCGAACGATGTGAGTGGTTTCTTTTGTGTCTTATTGTTCATATCAGATCTGTTGCTGAAAGCAAAGTCTGTTTAGGTAACCGATTTCATCCTCTTAACTGAAACTCGAGGTAATCCTGACGGGATGGTGGTCTGTCATCTTCCTTTCGGTCCAACTGCTTACTTTACCATGGCTAATGTTGTAATGCGGCATGATATACCGGACAGAGAAGCAGTTAGCGAGCAGTATCCTCATCTGATTTTCCATAATCTTGGCAGCCGCTTGGGACAAAGAGTGTGTTCAATTTCTGAATAATGTCTTATATGTTGCGACTTCAAGAACCTGCCTTTTTATTTATGGTCTAGTAGATCTTCCGCTCAAAGGCACTGGACAGGCAAAATGGACCCTTGTCGATTTCGGTGCAGTTAGGTAGTAGAAACCCAAGTACACCAAGCCCAAACCCACTTATGCGCTGATTCTTGAAAAATGCGCTTCAAAACTACACCAGCCTCCCACTTCCATTGGGTGGGCGTTATTGGTGGAGTTTTGAAGCGCAATTTTTAGGGCTTAGCGCATGAACTGGTAGGTGGGTTTGGGCTACGGTGTACTGGTCGGTCTACTATCTACTAGTTAACAGCACCAGAATCCGTCCATTTTGCCTGTCCACTGTCTTTAATGGGGTGCGTATCGTTACTTGTGAGTGTGAATTTCGCAGTC